ATGATGCAAAATTAATAAAACAATTTATTGTTGAATTCTGGTTATGCATGCCAATATCGTAAATTATCAAGAACTCGGCACATAAAAATGCTTTAACCTTGGCAATTTACATTATGCTCAACCAATTTAAATAATTGCTTAATATTATTAAATCTTAACTAAATTTAGCATAATTATARATTTTCTGATTTAAAAGATTTACATAGTTTGGAGTTCGATTTGGAAGTATTTTTCACGAACGTGGGAATTTTAAAGAGTATCACATTTGCCGCTATATGAAAGACTCTTCGAACTATTCTTCGAAACCAAATAAACGGCTGTTTGAAAACTTCAGTGAAAAATGAAGCGTTAAACGGGTTATTCTATTAAGTAAACAAACGACTACATCTTCARATTCTTGTTTTAATGATTCGTGGTCAACAACCAATGCACTGCGCACTTATTTTATTGTTAATATAAAAATAAAAAAATTAAAAAAAAAACCCCGCCATTTTGCCTGGCAGATTAAATAATGCATAGCATTGCAGTGTTCTCGGCACGCATTGCATATTGTGTGACTAGGATTCTTAAAGCTTGCTTGAATCTAAAATAACGTTTTGTTTATCCTTATCCTTGTCCCAGCCAATATTCTCTTAACTCGAATTACTTGCATAAAAAGGAAAGAATTTGCTTTTTTCATTGAACCATTTATTCATCTGTTTACTTCTGTTTTAWTTTTTGTTTTAGATTTTGACAAAAATATATGTAAACCTTCAAAGCTTGAATGGGTTTCTGGAAACGAAAGCCGAAAGGTTACTTATGCCATAAAAGGATTGTGTAATCCTACTCCTAATCTCACCTGTACGAGTGATGTCACAGATGTTTCTTTTGGCTCTGATCAGTACAACGTAATTGTAAAAACCACAGTAACCGGAAACAAAATCAATTATTCTTGTGTGTTCTCTAATGAAGTTGGTAATTGCTCTATGGCCTTTATAATCTGGAAACGAAGTAAGTATTCTCTTGTAACATATGTAGCCCACCTCA